TTTAATTCGAAATGATTCAGCATTTAATTTGAATCTTTGTAGCAGAATCTTCTTGATGTAAGAATAATCTTCTAATTTGTCTTTTGGTTCTCTTAAAATAATTTGCGAAATGTCTATAGGCAGAAGAGGTAGGAGATGAGTGATGTAATCTATTTGTTTTATATTAACTTTCTCACATTGTCTTTCAAAAATTTGCAGGTAGGTTGCAATGTCAGAAGTTCCTGTAAATTTAGGGATTAGGTGTTGAATATTTGTTTCAATAGCTGCATTTGAAGCAAAGGCGGCATAGTTAGGATTTGAGCTAGCAGCTGCCAGGTTTAATTTTAAACGTTCCAATTCTAATAAAAGTTCTTGTTCTTTTCTTTGACGTGTCTCTAGATCGTTGCTTTCACGTTGTTTTTGTTGTCTAGTTTCGATTAAAGTTTCCAGAAGATTCCTGGTAAAAGCCTCATCATAAGTGTCAGAATTGACGATAAGATCTTTAAGATCTATTACTCGCATAGTGTCGTTTACAGTGAAACCCAGTTCTGTAGCGAGAGTTTTTAAATCCTCTTTTCGTGCTTTGGCAAGGTAAGCCATAATTATATGAGAGGTCAGGGGGGAGGGAAAAGATGAAGTTGAATTTGTTGTTATTTCGATTTTATTCACAATACAGTATTTTAGAATTAATAATTATACCTTTAAGTAAAATGTATATACTCCTATTACACAGCATGTATAAATGTAAACAATGTTACTCGTACATTTATATGCCACTATTAAACAGCATTTATAAATGTAAACAATAATACTCACAAAGTTTATTATTTCGGAGTCGTAAAAATATCATAAAATGCCCTCATAAATTCAACTTGTATCAAGAAAATAACATATAATAAATTGCTCAAAAATTGTTTACTACTTAGCAAAACATACAAAACATACATAAATGTCTTACCATAAGCTTTTATATTCTCCGAAATCTTAATCTTAACAAAATATTAAGCTGATTAAGCAACACACACTTAGTAACTCTTTTACTTTATTTAAATAGTCATTCGATTTTATTCATAATTATTTTCTTTCGCTTCAAGAAATATTTTCAAGACATGCATTCATTAAAGGAAAACAATCGTATTTTCTTAAAGTATTATACTATAATCATTTTCTCAAAATGTTCGTCGAAAGATAAATCAACAAGTACAATATTTATTTTTATGTAGAATAAAACATTTAATAAGGAACAACAGCACTCAAAGGAAATAAAAGTAATAAAAGATTTGACGTAAACACATCATAAATCATCGCTAGTCTAAACATTTCCGCGGGGGGAAAACATCTGCTGCTGTATGTCAGAATCGAAACTAATAAATTCTAATGAACAACGTCCATGAATATATTCAAACTTTAACATCAAAACTTGTATTTCGTGAAACAATATTATTCATAAATTAATTTACTATGCGCATTAACATTTTAAAATAACAAATTACAATTCAAGAAATAACGTTTGGTTAACAGAAAGACGTTTGCTTTCGTTTAATACTCTTATGTAGTATCAATAAATGAGATTTCAGTAAAGAATTTACATTTGCTTTAAGAAGCAGCTTATAATAAATAATCAGTTTAAAAGAACTTTAAACTCAGATTAAACGATAATGTAAACGAAACTTATCTTTTCCGTTGAAATTGTCCAGTTGATGATTCGATGTGCTAGCAGCACGGTATGACAATTTTAATTCCAGAATTGGTTTCCAGAATATTTGACCAGTAGTCCATAACTGAAAAGAAACTGCGCCGATCTCCAGCAACTAAAAGTTAAATTCGGGAGTAAGAGCTTGTTAAAGCCAAACAGAAATTCTAAACATTTTGTTGCGCCATTTTGGATGTTGGCAAAGAGGTTACCAATGGGATGCACCACTTGATCAAGAATTGCACAATCGATTTAAAACCTGGTATAATGAAATTCCTAAATTAAAAAATGTTGAAATTTCAAGACATTATTTCAACAATCTGTCAAAAGGAAATCTGTCGAATATTCAATTGCACTGTTTTACAGACAGTAGCCAAAAGGGATATGGTGCCGTTGTATATTTGAGATACAATGAAAATGAGTTAACAAAAATATCATTTGTTATGTCCAAAGCAAGAGTTGCTCCCATAAAAAGGGTTACGTTACCTCGACTGGAGCTTTTAGGAGCAGTCATAGGAGCTCGACTCATCACATACATCCGACATTCGTTGAAAAACATAGAAATGAAGATTTATATGTGGACAGATTCAGAAATTGTATTACATTGGGTCAAGGCTGATCCGACAAAATGGAAACAATTTGTTCGAAATAGGTGTCTAGAAATCCAAGAGAAAACTGATCCAGATTGGTGGAATTATTGTCCCAGCCATGAGAATCCTTCGGACTTATTGACGAGAGGACAGAAGGTAGAAAACCTTTCAAAAAATGAGCTGTGGTGGTATGGCCCACCTTGGCTTGTCAAAGATAACAACGTTTGGCCCAGATCTTCGAGAAATTTTAAGGAAGATGATAAAATAACAAATTCTGAGAAACGAAAAGGAAAGAAGCAAGAAATTTTAACAGCAAACTGTATTGTTGAAAACATCATTCCTATCGAGAACTTTAGTGACATAAAAAAGGTATATAGAATAACATCTTATGTTTTCAGATTTATCAATAATTTGAAAAACCCAAAACTAAGAAGAATTGGACCTGTTAAGGCTGAAGAGATGAATGAAGCAGAGAATTTATGGATCAAGAAAACTCAGGAAGAAAATAATAAGAATAAGAAAAAAGATCATAAGTTGCAACATGGTGCCGAAATTCCGAGATAACAGTGATCTTTAGATATATTGTGATTTAAGTATTTATTATTGTTCGATTAGTGATTGAATATTGAGTATTAAGATGGATAAGTTAAAAGCACTAAAAAAGAAGCGAGGAATGTTAAGAGCATCAGTAACAAGACTGATAGCTAAATGGAAAAGGAAATAGAAATCGGATAATATTAAATTTGATTTATTAGAAGATGATTTATCCATCTTAAATGAAAATGAAAACGATATACTAATATTGAACTCTGAAATCGAATCTATCCTAACAGATGAAAAAGAGTACGAAACTGAAATACAGGATAGCTTGGACTATAAAAATAAAATTACCTTGTGTAAATCGAAGATCAGCAGAATATTTAGAAATAGAAAATGTGTTAAATTAAATGAGTTGCCATCTAATTCTGCTACTATTGATACGGTAGAGCACACAAATACAAATGGCGCTAAACTTCCGAAACTAACCATAAATAAATTTAAAGGCGAAATATGTGAATTTCAAAGTTTTTGGGCTCAATACGAATCTGCTATACATAATAACTCTGCTTTAAAGGATGTAGACAAATTTAATTACCTCACATCTTTACTAACGGACGCAGCTTTAATGTCAATAAAGGGATTACCGTTAGTTGCCGAAAATTATGCTAAGGCAATAAATATTCTGAAAGAAAGGTTTGGTAGAAAGGACATTTTAATAAATGCACATATGAATCGTCTGCTGAATTTAAAGCCAGTTAAAAAAATAGATGATATTAAAACATTACTTAACTTATATGATAGCTTAGAAATTGAAATTAGAAGCCTTGATTCCCTTAACGTTACTTCGAATTCTTACAGCTATTTGTTATGCCCACTGTTAATGCGGATACTTCCTAGCGAATTGGTTTTAGAGTTTAATCGATCGTTAATCCCTAAAACAGAAACCGATCGTTGATCCCTAAAACAGAAACCACAGTGACTAACATTTTGGAATTTCTGAAGAAGGAAGTTGAAAGCAGAGAGCGTACGTTTTTCCAAACATCGCCAAACTATCCCGGGTTTCGGCACCATGTTGCAACTTATGATCTTTTTTCTTATTCTTATTATTTACATTTAATAACATCGATAAGTGAAAGTTTGCTTACCTTTCTTAATAAATATCCACAGGAACGCTTGGAATTCCTTTTCATTTTTATCAGACAGAAGCTTTATTTACAGCTATGTACAAGAATTGTATGCTTACATTAGAACATTCATCATGCTCTTTTGGTTGCCACTACATCTATCTCAAAAATCCGCAATGCGGTAAGAAAAATATAACAAGCTAAAAGTAAAAAACGCTGCGCCCTCTCGTGGCCAGCTACATAAACTGTAACAGGGCGCCAATGTGATGTAGCCGTTCCTCAATAGACACTAATGCCAGGCTAGCTTTAAAAGGATTTATTAACAGAGTACACAGGAACGGTTACAAACAAAAGAAATATACATAAAAATGAAACATATACCAAATGGAACATCAAACAGTTGAATAACAGAGACATAGTAAACTAACATCATGGCGGCTGGAGTTCGACTGACGTTTTTTCATATCGCCACGAGATGGCGTTTAAATAAAATAGTTCGGTTACAGTTCATGAGTTCATGGCGTGAATAAATAGTTCAATTACACTTAAATAGGTCTGTTACACCTTGTATTTAGCGTAGGTATAATGAAACACTCAATCGATTTCGAGGGTCTGTGACTCCTTCTCCTATTTTCTTCTTTCTATGTATTTCTTTCTCCTGATGAGGAGGGACCTTTAGCTGCCCTCTAAATCGATTGAGTGTTTCATTATACCTACGCTAAATACAAGGTTGTTTTTTTACGATTTTGAAAACGGGTTAGTTTAGAACTAAAATAACATTTCTTACAATACAAAAAAATTCATAAAAATAGAAATATTTTAAACTTTTAATTCATTTAATAATGTAATTAATAAATCTTCAGGTACGAAATACTACTGAAGATAGATTTATACCTTTCGTTAATTTAATTAAAGACATATAAGAGTTTATTAAATCAATTTCCGTGTAATATACATTGTTGCTGGTACTAAAAAATTTCATAAGCAAAAAGATAATATTGTCAGGAATGGCATAGGGTTATGCCCATATTCGCGTAAAGAAGAATGTATTAAAAGGTTGTCCGTGCTACTTACAAGCCACATTGACAGTTGATTCTGAGGCGGATTGTCCTTTGTTATTAGTGGCTTGGACTTTGTACGTCCCAGCGTCATCGTGAGTGACATCCTGTATTACGAGTTTTGCGACACCGTCAGGGGATACAGACAGGTCGACTTTATGGCCAGGCCTTAAAGGTTTTCCATCTTTGTACCTGTTTGAAATTAGTAATAAAGATTAGGAACGATAAAGTTTCAGCATATTTAGAACCTTTATTCACCCAGCTGTGGATAATTTTCCCACACCAAAATAAATAAATAAAATAAATAAATATGATTAGTAGACGTTTTGATGCCGCTATTTATAATTTCTGTTCAATTATTTTATTATTAAATACTCCAGTTGTTGAATTTTAAAAGACTGTGTCTTAGTGAAATTACAACGTAACTCTGCAGTGCACTTAGAAAGGCATATACTCTTATTAAAATATCAAATTTCAGTCATATAAGTTTACAATAAAGCTACACAGTTTCAAAGGTCCATAACTTTGAGTGCATTAAGGATTATGTAATTATAACTCACTAGCAATTTATGCATATGAAGGATATAAAGGATATTTTAAAACTCAATGTCAAACATTTAAAGCGCGATAAAGATGCGTATTAGAAATGCCAAGGTACACTGATCCGTGAATAATCAATCTGCATTGCTAGCTGTTGCAAAAACCAAAGTACAAACTCAACACGTGGCGCATAATGTGCAGGTATCAAGGCTTGCACTTTCTGTACATGGAGCCCACCAACGGCTGAGCGGTAAAGTCGCTGAACACTGGTAGTTCGGCCCGAGGTTAGAATCCCGCGAACGGGTTAGCTGCATGGGCGTTTTCGTGGTTTTTCCCATGTGTAACGTGTATACGAGCCAGTTTCCCTTAGAAAGTCCTCCACGAAGGCATCCCTCCCCTTAGGCAGATAGCCCTAGTGTGCTTTGCCATAATTAAATAAACCAAACCAAACTTTCTGTAGTGCTGTAATCCTTCGTCCCGTAATACTCGCCAAACAACTGAGTGGGTCACATTTACGGCACGGCAAGCTTCTCGCGGTGCTAATATCAGGATGATCTCCCACTCTTTTCAGAATGTCCCCTACAAACATGTGGCGCCACACACTCCTGCCACGCCGTCTATCATACATGCCAGTGACAAAGGATTCCGGTTCACACAAGCACCCACGAAATATTTCGAACATTTTTCGGTCTGGCGCGCGTCTTCTCGGAAAACGCTGCCTAAGCAGTCTTTTGGCATCCACAGCATTCTCATTCGCAAGACCACACATAAAAATGCATGTCCGCCTTTTTCTGATCACTATACGTCGACATGCCTTCTGAAATCCACGCTAGAAATGATGATAAGAAAACTCGCGCATTTTGCTTTCTATTACAACGCCGTCTAGCGGCTCACCGCTTGCTCTTCGCCCATGCATTGTATGGTAAAAATTTCTTGTTTAGATGTTTTCTATCACCCCTTAAAAGTTTGCACATGAGTTTCGAAACACCATGTATATGAACAATCTTTTCCTTTCAAATATGAAGGTTTTCCCACCCCGTCCATTTGCGATCTTAACTTGTGTCATCGCAGCAAAGCATTTATTTTCTCCACGTCATTTGAAGCTGTAGTTCAAGTCAACCCTCAGGGCCCACCAGCGGCCGAGCTTTACCGCTCGCTGAACACTGGTAGTTCGGTCCGAGGTTCGAATAGTGTGCTTTGCCATAATTAAATACACCACATCAAGTCAACCCTCATTCGCGCACTTGTTACACTTTTAGTCCTAATTTAAAAGGTGATTTGGATCGACACCGAATGCTTCAGTTTTAATTACTCAGAATTCTGAAAATACAATTCCTTCTTAATTGATCTTGTTTAAAAACAGAACTATTGTTTATATGTGAATAACTAACAATGTTAGTTTGACCATTATTAATTAAGCCCACCAGTGGCCGACTGGTAAAGTCGCTGAACACTGGTAGTTCGGTTCGAGGTTCGAATCCTGCGAACGGGCTGGCTGCATGGGTGTCTTCGTGGTTTTCTCCCCGTGTAACGTGTATGCGAGCCAGTTTTCCTTAGAAAGTCCTCGACGAAGGCATCCCTCCCCTTAGGCAAATAGCTCTAGTGTGCTTTGCCATAATTAAATAAACCAAACCATTATTAATTAAGCTCATGTTTAATGCATCGAGACATGGTATCAAACAAAATATGTCAATTTATAATTTACATAATATTTACATTTCGGAATATAAAAGTCATATGAATAATTCATTCTACTAGGTAATTTTATTTTAGTAAAATCGAAACATGCTAACGAAAATGAAGTGGGGGAAAAAATTAAGACAGTCGACCTCTTTCCTATGTTGTTCCCATGGTTACGAATCAAACCGGACGACGGGAAAAACATTTCTTTTTTAAAATATCATATTATAACTTATTCTTCAAACGTATGTTCATAATTCTTAGAAGAGTATCGTAAATAACATTGTAAAAGTACATGCTACATTTATTTGAAATTAATAATTCCAATTTCATCTTAGGAACACATAAGTGTAAAGCGTCATAACGACAATAGAATATTTCTTGGTTTTCATTATTAGTAGCCAAAATATAACGTCGAAAGATGTTTGCTCATTAGGAATAAATTTTTCTTTGAAGAAATCATGTTAAGTGAGGAAGTATTGGATAAATATCCTTCGCGTATTTGATATAATGTATGCTGTGATAATAATAAATACAAAGTGTGACAATAATGTTCTGTAAATGACATCATAGGATGCGCATGCGTAGTCATAGGGGAAGAATAAGGTGAGGAAAGGATACTTCATAGCGTGCTTGAAGAGTTTGAAGACAATTATGGAAAAGTAATGTATATTTTATTAAACGATTTTAACCTAAACTTAACAAAATTTACTTATTAGTAGCATTAACCTATGCTCCAGGTGTTACTTACCCTTGCATTATATTTAGTGACAGGGGTATGCTTGAATTTTTTTTAGTGCAAACTATCTAATCTGGGTGTATTGATGATATCTTACAGTCGCATTTCATACTCTGCTTTTAATTTGTTTTTACATTTTGTTTTTGTTGCTACATACGGTGAGAAAGATTTTTCACTTAAATGCGGTGTTCCGAATGGTACTCAAATGTTTATACCTGGTAGAGAAACTTCTGGGTATTCTGCAGGAATCTATAACCAAAAATTTAGGAACTGCTTTTTCTCAAGGTTTTAACGTCGAATCTGCTGATATGATATGTCTACAGGGTGAATCTGAACAGAGAGGCAAAACTTTAGACGGTAATAGAAGGCAGCTGTACGTGCAATATTCGTCATAGAATGTATGGTCAGAACACAAACGGCAAGCCGCTAGGTGGCATTGTAAATTAATGATATAAAAAAGAGTCGGTCCTCGCACCCAACGGTATTTTCTACTGTGGATTGCTGAGAGAATTGCTGATTATAGGAACCACGAAAATTTCAGGGCGGAGGATTGGTCGAGGTGTTTCTATAACTTGGCCACCAAGAACACCGGATCTCTCGTGTTTGGACTTTTTCCTGTGGGGCTATATGAAAAGCCCCATTGAAACGAGTGCCCCATTAAAACCAATATGGATTTCGTCGCCAGGGATCGCCGTTGTTGCTGGCGATATTCGGGAAATGCCTCGTGTCTTCTCAAATGTACATCGATCCCTATCCCCCCTTAAAATTTGCTCTCTTGTTCAGTTTCACGCTGTATAAGGTTTTACCTTTCCGTCTCTAGCAAGCCTTCTGATTTATCGTAGTATTCGAAATTTTATTAAAATATTATTCGTATTTATTATATTATTATTATAATTTATTATTCGTATTTTATCAAATGATACTTAGGTTTTTCTTCTGAAAATATTTAAAATTTTTTTTGATTGAAAAAGTGTTCCACTGTATCATTTTTAACACTATCGTCTCGTAATTTCAATTCGTTTTCCTTTAGAAAACTTGTTTAGTTTTGCGAAGCACTGAGCGCCGCCTGAGATAACCACTGACCTGACTTTGTTGTAAAATCTTACAGTGTTAACAGTCATCCTGGCAGAAGGGAATATTTCCTCCGTGTAAAAATATAAATAAAAATATTACATGGGCATACAAGGCCTGTATACAAGCATAGATATGTGATTACAAACATTGTCTTGTACAAGTTACATCCCGCCCTTTAGGCAGATAATCGCTTGACAGCTATGTGTACATTTAAACACATATCTGACATTCATATTTACAATACTTTTACTGAGATAATCAAAGTAAACTTGTAATTCATTTATACATTGACTGGATTTTCAGTATCATTTAAACTGCTTTACAATATTATTTTTATCAAGTACATACAAACTGGATACTAATATGCTTACATTACGATAGTTTTGCTCTTACACTCCTGTTACTATTCTACGGGTTGAGCTATTTTTCTAGTGTTGATTTTCAGTTGTTGTAGTATTTTGAATTGCTATTAAAATTATGCTGCGACGATACAATTCAAGGGAGGGGAAGAATTTCTTAGTAACTTGCTGAGCATAGCCTAATTACCTCCTCTATTTTAGTTTTCGTCTGCTTGTTGCCGCAGGTATTCTCCGCCAGTATTCACTGCTTGGCATTTTTAAATGCAGTTTATTGGTTTATGGGCAGTTGAATAGGAAGTGATCTGCATTACCTACCGCACCACATTCACACAATTCTGATGCTCGTTTCCCGAATCTCTTAAGACAATGTGGGAAGGGACCATGGCCAGTGTAGAATTGAGTTTGCGCTCCGCCGTATGTATTAATTGAGCATGTAACTTTCGGAAAGAACTGTAGGTTCTCCGTCATTCTCTTTTACATTTAGTAACCATTCGCCAAGTTTTAAAACCAATCTATAACTAAGTATACCCTCATATTTTTTTTTTTTAGTAAGCACTAGTCAACCAGTGTGAGTGCGTTGTAATTTTCTTTTCGACTTTTCATTTTGACTCGCAGAGCTCCGAGGTTTCGTGGAACACACTTTGAAGACCACTGGTTTAAATGAACAAGATAGCTTCGGGATGAATGAGATTCCACTGAAGATGTTATCGAAGTGGTAGGCCTATGTCTTCTTGTAGTGATGAAACATCGAACAAGTGAGGAAAATGATAGTTAGAAAGAGAAACAATGAACGTTAATGCTACAAGGATGTTCTAGTAAATTTATTGTCAAGTACTTGTTTGTACATCTAGAAAATTCCAAGACGAACTCGTGGTTCTTTCTCCATGCTTGGTCATATTTGGTCTTCTTCAAGAAACAGTGTATGACCAATAGAACAGCTGTAGCTCACGATCATCTGCCGCATTACCTAAACTTCAAATCAGCTCATTTTGTTTCAGAAAACGTTTTTCTCTTCCGGAACCTGAGCCAGGTGATAAAGTGAGAGCGGTTTTTTTAATATCCCATATGTTCAAAGCCATTTGAAAGGGTTCCCTATACGATAAAGAAAGAAGTCTTTTCCTGTAGCTTTCAGTAAATGTACAGTAGTTGTCAAAAGCACTTTACAAACGACTACCTTTATTTCCGAAGAATATAAAACGTTTTTCCCGATTTAGTTACTTTTTCTTTTTTGTTTACGAGCATATTTAAGAGAATTTTGTTGTCATATCATGTGTCGTGTCGTGCTTATCTAACTATTCCATCTTTTACAAAAACTAAGTTAAAAAAAAATTCAAAAGATATTATCTTGTGTGCCATAATTAATTAATTCACCATTTTTACTTAAATAGGGAGTTCACGGAGTCGATAATAAACTCACAAATTAAGAATCTTTTCGAAAAATTAATTAGAAAGCAATTTTAGGAAAGCGGTGGTTTTATGGGAAAAGTACAAAACAATAGTTTGTTTTACCGAAAAGAATTAAAATATATATAAAGCGAGAGAGAGAAGATTTTATTAGTATAAATAAAATAAAAGCTTTTATTATTGTGAAAATAAGAATGCTAAAGCTTCTGTTTATTGCCATTTGTTTTCAAATGAATACTTTCATTCGTACACAGCATATAAATACATTCATATGAGTCAATAAAAATACTAAAATACTAGAAAAGATATTCTACATGTTTTAAATATGTTTGAGACTAAGTGTACCACACAAAACAGACAGTGAGACAGTGCAATCTGCATTATAAATAATATTAACTAGAATAATTTTTCGATTTTTCATGAACAACTTTATGTGATTGCAAATGTCCATGTTTCTCATCAATAAACTTTATCATTCGTCGTTAATTAGGATGGCATTTATAAACCTAAATACAAAACCTACTTACCACTTAACTTCCGGGGTAGGTTTGCCAAATACTTTTGCTTTCAGATCTAGTTTATCACCTTCTGCAAGATCTACAGTTGATGGCAACTTTGCCGTCACGGACGGAGCGAAATCTTAAAAGAAAAACGTCAAATACCCACGTCAAACATTTAATATATATTTTTTTATTCAAAAACCATAAACTACTGAATTCACATAAACAATATATCTTACGTGAAAAAAATTGTCTATACAATTATGTAGTTTCAGTAGCCAAAATTAAAATTCAGCGATTCCATCATATATTTAAGAATATGTCATATGCTCTTTTCTTTGTCTTTCTATCTTTTTCTCTAGGTGGTCCATATTCTCTTTTATGCAAGATCTCTGACACAGCATGTACACTAAGGGAAAAAAATGGTACAGTTCTATAGCTCTCGTTCTACTGGGCCGACTGATGAAATTCAAATTCGTTTTTCATGTCTCGAAAGCGCGACTTAGGATATATATTAGATTTATATATATCAGTTGTCCTAATATATTTATTGTCCTAATATACAAAATCGGACTTTCTCTGAAATGGCATGCCAATTTTTTCCATATTTCAATTCTACGACTCAAATTATGCCTAAATATTAAATTTTGTAAAATGTGGTGAGAAATTCATGGAGAAATTCAAAAATTTATCTTGGAGCATTTTTTTTTCTTTTTTTTTTCTTTTTTTTTTTCTTTTCTTTTTTTTTTTTTTTTGCTTAGATATTAAACTCTGTAATTCTCGGTAAACAATTAAGGAGAAGTTTAAAACTTTATCCTTGCGTATTTTTTCCAGTTTTCCCCATGGATAATTTACTTGGTGAATTTCTTAATTTATAGCAACCTATCTTCCTTTCCTTTTTTGATTGCAAACAAACGGGAAAATGTCATCGTTCATTATTTCAAATAATTTTCATAAAGTGAGTAAACCACATTTGGCGTTATTATAGCGTACAGCAAATATGCCAAATTCCAAAACACGCCAATATGTAAATTCACGTATTTTTATTCACGTATCAGGAAATTTTGAATAAAAAACTCTAATTTTTTGCAGGTATGCTTCTGAGATACATCTGCTTTAAGATGATGGTAAAAATTTTATAGCTTATGGTTCAAAATGTTTTTCGTAAAATTTATAAGAATTATTTAAAAATAAAAATTTAAAAATAAATCGTAAAAAATGGACGAATTTTATCTGGAATGAACCTAAATTTTGAAATATGAAAGGAAGAATCTAATAAATTTAGTAAAAAAAGAGATTTTAATAAATATATGCAAGATTCAATTAACATGGAGGAGTTAAAATTTTCAGAGCTACATGTAATTTTTTAAAACTACTCGTGCGATTTTTATAAAACTTGGTATTTTGGCATCATTTGAGTCGTAGAATTGAAATATGGAAAAAATTGGCATTTCATTTCAGAAAAAGTCCTATTTTGTGTCAAAATACCTTTATTCGAACAATGCTATAAATATATCTAATAATAGTTTATAATCTAATAATGGTTTATAATCTAATAATAATAATCTAAATCTAAGCCGCGCCTTCGAGACATGAAAAACGCAAGTTGATTCCATCAATCGGCCCAGTAGAACGAGAGATATAGAACAGTCCTTTTTTTTTTTTCGCAGTGTACATATTTTTGTCATGCCGGGACGCCAATGGTCGCCTTTCTCTGCCCCACGTTTGGAACCCCATACAAGACGAAAGGAATCGTCCGCTTCTAGGACGATAATTTGGTAAAAACGGACGTATGCCGTGCCCCGCAAGAATTTTTTACTTACCCCATTAGATTTCTCTTTATTGGACTTTATTGTCGAAAGCAGTCGAAACTCACAGTGAAAGGATTTATAATCTTGGACCACCTCAAAGAGTGAACCATACAAGCAGTTACAAGTGCTATACCAGATATCCTTACCAGAGTATGGACAGATACCGAATATCGCTATGGCTTCTTTCCGGATGTTATAGTGCACACGTTGGTGGCTTTTTTCAAAAACCTAAATTAAACAGTCGTTTGAAAGAAAGTTAATTTAAAAGCACTTTAAATCTATTTGACCTAATATTTGCTTCATATAGACTTCGTTAAATCTCACCATTCATTCTCGGAGAACGAAATGTCCAGGTGCCGTAAAATAGCTTCCCCGGAAAGCAGGTTTAGAGTTGCCAGAAAATAGCAAGGGAAGGTAAGGTTGCTACATTTGGTGAGGAATTGTCAATTTGGCGACAAAACTGGCTATATGCTATAGACGGATGGAGAACTTTCTGGAACGAATTCATACTAGTTTAGCCCAGAATGTTCTCGAACGCAAACTAAAAGCTATATAAACCCTGCTACTACGCGGAGTTCATTGAATTGATAGTCGAGTCAGTTAAGTGTCACTGAGCGAGTGTCTCGTAGTCCAGTGCCGAGTTGGTTGTCGAGTGCATCGAGAGAGTCTCTTAGTGTATCGCGAGTTAGTGCATCGTCGAGTTTCATCTTAGAGTGTGTTGAGCTCCGAAAACGATCCAACCTAGTCGGGAGCTGTACTCTAGTGTATCGTCGAGTGCATCGCGAGCTGTAGCGTGAAGAAACTCGAGAGTATGTAGAGTTCCAAGAACGACCGAGCAGATTCGGGAGCTGTATTCTGGTGCTTTGCCGTGAAGCTGCTTTCACCGTTATAGCCTGAAGGCTGTGTCGCTGATTGTTCCAACGTATTTATAGTAGATCTTTGACAACTGTAAACGTGTTATTGGAGCTGTTCTGAGTAATACTGGCTAATAGATTGTGTTTCGATACTTCATCAAGGGTCGTCGTCATTCACTCCAAATTCACGAACCCTTAACGTGAAGAGAAAAACGTAACAATATTACATACCGTGTCCACAAAAGTCATTTCCCGCATTCGCAACCGCGGGTTATGAATATATCTATTAACTTCTAATTACAAAAATGTTTTAAATGATGCAAAAATTCACGTCTTTTGCAATAAAGCACTCTGTACTGCGTTAAATGCTTACGGAATTTAGTTATATTCACCTGCAACTGTCAGCGTCGCTTTTCGTGTGTCTTCTCCAGCTTTATTCGTAGCCTTGCAAGTGAAAGTTCCTGCATCTTCGATAGCTTTTATTATGCCTTCCAGTTTATAAATGTCACCACTTCCAGAGATGGTAAAAATGCCATTACTCGTAACAGGTTTGCTGTCTTTCAGCCTGGGAAATAAAAAAACAATCAATTAAAATTTCCAATACGAATGCAAATTTCATTCACAAAGTATGTTTATAATATATCTCTGAAATCAAGCTACTTACTTAGATTTCCTTTAATATTCACTTCTTGGTGCAGAATTTTTAAACCAGTGCACTAAAGACACATTCATAATACGGCATAAGTCTTCTAAATAAACTAAACATGATTTGGTAGTAGAAGACTTTTATTTACAAAGTCTGAAGAATTTTTATTGATTGAACATTAAGGGGAGTTATTTGAAATTAGGTTTAATTTATGTCTTTGTGCAACCCAACGGCTTTTAAACGCGTTGTCCAGGCAAGACAGAGTTCAAAAAATGGTAAATGGCAACAGCAAGGAAAGGAGTTTAAAAAGAAGAAAACAATTAAACTAACAGTTACTGACAAGATATAAAAGTTGTTGAAGAGCACAGACAGTGAAGGATAAGTGTAAACAATGGGACAGGAGTTCTGTTAATATTTTGTCTAGTGCCTTCAGGCTTTTATATGACTGGTAATTCTTCCTATACGATGTGAATAATAAAATGTGAATATAATTTAGCAATAACGTTTTCTGTTACAATACCAACACACATTCTATTATAAAAGCAACACGCATTATAATATCAACAAAACAAATAAATGTTACTTTTAAAGAAGAAGAATAAAATATTTACGAAGCTTAGCAACGCTTAGGTTTATGCATTTTGGTTATATCTACTATTTAAAATTATCTTTAATTTATTAAGAGAAAATGTATATTATGGTATTAAGAAACATATTTTATATATAAAATTTCATTACATCCAGAGAATTACTTTATATGCAATTAGCAAAATGCATTATAGTGCAAAATGTTTTATCAAAATAATTTATAAAGTTTAACTCTTCGTCGACAGAAATACGAATATGGACAAAATTCGTCAATAAAAACTTCGTTAATGCAATACATTAGGAAATATGCGTCAAAATTCTATGTAATAATCGCTGTCTTAAATAATCCACATTTTGATCGTACACCGTACAAGGTACAAAAGAAGATAGTAATAAAATAAATACTTCTATTTTTTATGGTGTTGCCATAGAACATATAATAATATACTCAAAGTTTTTATCGTAATGCAAGAAAAATGCCTTCCAAATTTACCATGAAATTTCTGGTGTCGGATATCCGTACACTTCAACTTCAAATTTAAACTTTTCATTCATATCCACGGACTGGTCTTGCATATCTCTCGCAAACACTGGTGCTTGTGCTGTGAAAAAAAGGAGCAATTATTGACGAAGAGACTCATTTCTGAATTATAATGAAAATATGTAATGTGTACACTACATGACACTTGAACGGCCTATTGAATTATACATATTTTTGCTGAATTTCATTTAAACGTTTTCCCTCGAATTTCATTACAGATATATTTGTCATTCAATCATTTCAGTTCTCAATTCGCGGCAGGGCATAAATTTATAAAAAAGCACCTTGATTAAAAATTGTAAAGCATAGAAAAACCTAAAACACCAAATACAGTTTACAACAGCAGAAAAAAAGCAATTTTTACAATTAAAATTACAATTCCTAAGCAAAAACAAGCAATTTGGCTAGCAGGTAGGAAGACAGATTTTCTGTGCACAAAACTGAAACTTAACTTTTGGTTTAACTTTGCAAAAAAGACACTGAATTGGTGCAACAACTGACTTAATTCACTGTTCTACTAAACGTTTAAAATGTAAACAAATGGCAGCTTCATTCGGCCTAGAGAAACTTCGACTTTTCGGTTTTTGATAATTGTACAACAATTGAAACTCAGATGCAGATTACCTAAAGGCATAAAACCTTTAACCGGAACATAAGAACAGCATCATTCAACCACTTTAAAAGCAGAAAATGCACAATTCACCAACATATAAAAATAAAATATTTAGCTTATAGAGCCGGTTAACAGGGTAGGAACATCTGTATATAACATATATATATATATATATAATTAATAAGCTAGGTAGTAAGTACAATACAAAAAGACCAATTTGGTCTAAAATTTTTATGCGCTTGTGGTCAGAGTGTACATTAGAACTTCTAACAGAGAACATTTCAAGGTGTAAATCTAGCAAAATCGATGACTCGAATACCCGATCATGTCTTCTTAACCTGCTTCTGATTATTGTCAAAACTTACAAGATGTGTGGGTAGTTTTTATGAGACCCTTTAAATCGTACTTGGTTTTATTTTTCCTCTTAAATTAGGTAAGTGACAATGCAGACATCTGAAGGAAGCTAGTCAGTTATTACTCCAAATCCGATATTGAGTGAGCCTAATGCTTAAGGGCCGACTAAAGTAATAAAAAGTTGACTAGAGTAACTAGTTAAATTCAGCCTTCATCTCACTTAAGGACATAGGTAAGTATAATTATGAATAATTCCTCTGCTCAGGAGAACATGCCAAGAGTTTCTGAATTATTTACAAGATATATTATACTTAAATAACTTACATACGTAATAAACGCCATTATGCTATTTTTGGTGTACCTTTGATGGAGAGATTTGCTTCGCATTTTGCTTCTCCTGCCGAATTCTTAGCAATGCAACTGTAGCGGCCAATTTCGTCGTTTTTCACAGCTTTGATAGATACGGCGTACTTGTTGCTCTCGGCGTCGGAAACGATGTCGTAAGTACTGTCCTTTTTGATTGGGATGTCGTCTTTTAACCTAAATAATAAAGCAAAAAAATATAGCTTCCTATCAAGCAGAGATATTTACATAATCTAAATTTTTACACATTAAAATTCTGGATACGTGATTTAGGAGCTTTAGCTATGCAAAGAAGGACAAATATTATCTAATATAGATTCTCCGAAAATAATGTTTGCATTCTTTGAGCGTTATTAACACGAACATTAATAAAAATAAGTAAACATTTTCTTTGGTAACATATACCTTAAAAATCAAGCGAGAAGAGGCAGACGCCAAAGTGAAACAAAAAATTAGGCATTTCAACAACTTTATGTTTGGCGTAGATTTTAGTCAAGACTTTATCGAACCAGGTACTGGTTCCCCTTCACCGGAAGCAAAGAAATCTGCAAGGAAGATGAATTGGTATGAATTGAGGTATCTATGAGTATTTAGTCCTGAGGACTTTTACTCAGAAATTATTTACCCTGCGGGGTACGTCTTAGTGAGAAGAAAATCCACTTGCTTGGATAAAAAATGAGTCCAATGTAGTGAAATCATCTTCCGCTGTTTTCTGTGCCCATAACTTTCGAGTTTCTGAATCTACCTTTTGAAGCAACATAAATATTAACCATAGATCCCTAGAAGTTGCTTCGTCACCAAGAGCTTTTAAACCTCAGATAACTTCATCGGAAGTATCAGCTAATTGTCGTAAATTAACATTATCAACCTGTGAAACACATTTTTGATCCATAAATGTTTTAATTAACGATTGTACGATTTGTTTCTTTTTATCGTACCTAGCGAGCAATTTTGCCCATGCTTCTTCATAAGAATTATTTGATAACGGAATATGTGTTTAATTATAGAAGCTGGTTCATCAGGCAAATGATCCGATTAAATACTGAAATTTCTGTATATTCGATAAAGAAGTATTATGCACTGTTGCAACAAACAAATCTTTAAAAAAATTCATCCAGTCATTAAAGTTACCCGAAAAAATAGGAATATTTAACTTAGGTAACTTAAAGTTACTAATATTAGAATTTCCTGTAAACATTTGGCACATTAGCCACATTTAATACATCTAATAAATTTTGATACTGAAGTTTCAAACTAAAATACTTCGATTCAAAATCTTCAATTTCTGACTGTTCTTTTGGTAATTGGGCATCAAATTTATCAAAATCTGAATAAATCCTTTCCAAGCGCTCCAGATGTAAAATTAGTTCATTTTTAGATAAATCGGAAGAAATAGTATTCTCAAGCCTTGTGAAGGCCGCTTTTGCCCTACTGCGCAATCTAATGACAGTAGCTTGATCCATAATAAGTAATCGAAGTATTCAAGTTCAAAATGAAAATCAATACAAAATAGATATAAAACTTCAAGAATCAAATTCAGATGTAAATCGAAATAAAAAGCACTTATCTGTACTTGAACTGCTGACGAATTCTCGATCTGATCTCGCCGGTGCCTCCAGAAATTCGTTTACGTTCCTCGTATTAGAATGGCGCCGACATGGATGACGCAGTTTCGGTTTTGATTATACTTAATAAATTCAAGACTCTTGGTGCATTTAAATGAAACTGAAGACATTTAATAATATAACATTCACACGTAAACATTTAGTAATAATTCAGGAGTACAGATAAGCTTTAACTCTTTCGCATCGAGAGAGGGCAAAATCTCAATTCCCCAAACATCGAAAACGCCCGTATCTAAGAATTTCTCTTGGAATGCTTTTCCTTCCCCCATGACAAGTTGAATACTACAGCGCTAACAATAGTCTTACTTAAGTAAAGCGAGAACTTCTTCGACGCTTTGACACTGTGTGAAGTTCCCCCTTGGGACGGGATTGCAACTTCGGTCATCAGAAGCTAAACACTGACAGTAAACAAAAGGAAACAAGGAAGCTACTTTTAGTAGCTTCAAAAGAATGATTGACATGTGATTTAACAACACCTGAAAGCAATGAGTAATGCAGTAACGTGATGGGGGAAAGCACTGGGTAGGAAATTATTCAGGCGTTTCGGGCGTCCAGCCGATGTCTGAATGCTCGGGCGTCTGGGGCGACTTCGATGCGAAAGAGTTAAAATAGGAATTACAACGTTTACAGGTCAGCTACGCTTTTAGAGACCGAATTCTACGAAAGACAAATCTCAAAAGCGTGTTGCCAACGCAGGGCAACGAAAAGATAGAAATTAATTCGATAGGCGTGGAAGTGAACAACCGCTGAGTACAAAAAGTTCGATTACGGACAAACGAGCTGGCTGTAGCTTTTCTTAACTATATAATGTGAATAGTGACCATTAGAAAATCTTCCACAAAAGCATTTCATCCTTTTGGGAGTATTAGCATTTGGGTACTTTTCCACACTTCAGTAGCGACAGCCAACTTTTTTTGACATCATACACAATTCCTTCTCTCTCAAACCTGCCGATCTTACTGTCTTGAGTTAGTTGAGAATCAAATTCTGTCATACCTCGTTTTTTACAATTCACGTAAAGTCTAGGTTTCCCAATAATACCTTAACTTTTACTTTCGCTGCTCGAGAAAAAGTGCGGTAATCTCTGCCGCTTAGAATACACTTATACAGAGGCTGTATAAGGTATTTCTCCCACTTTCTTCGCATTCTTTAGTGGTGTAGTGGTCAGCACACTCGGCGCGTATTCGAGAGGTCCGTGGTTCGAGTCCCGGTGGGGGCATTGCTTATTTTTCACATGTTCTACTTCAAAATAATCTAATGTCTCTACAGTTCCTCGCAAATGTTTTAGAGATTCAATTTTGCTATAAAAATACCATCTGCTTGTAAATTTGTTAACTGTAGCTGTATTTTTTAAAGTAAAAATTATAGTCTGCCATTTTATAGTTATATCTTCATGTAAATTGGCGCTTTTAAAGAAGCAACGGAAGGAAGGCTGTGCAAATTCAAAATAATGAGATGGGAGAAAATGGCAAAATCAACTTCACATATTATCAATAACATATTTTATACCCAGTTTCAAATTTGAAATAGCTCCTCTTTCCCAAATTCCCATTCATTAGTAGAACTACATCAAGACAAAGCAAGCAGTCACACGTCAAAATTCATTGTTGATTTTTCTGGGGGGGGGAATTGAACAAAAAAAGGGTATCGAGGTCATGTCCTTTACTCATGTCCCTAGTAAATTTCTTGATATGTCATCAATGGGTTTCTGCGGTTTTAAGCTTTTAAAAAGCCGATGATCCCAAGCTGTACTCACAAACCTCTTTTGACTTTGGAAACCTGTCCGAGAGGAATGGGATCAAATATCTTTTCCGATACTATAAAAAGCTCTATTGTCTTGGAAATTATGGTTTAGAAACATCGTGAAGAATACGGCTTATCAAATGGCAGATTTAAATTACAAAAGTTTAGGCAAAATATTTCTTTAAATACAATGAAATCTATCTAGAACACTTGCGGACACCTTCACTAACTAAGCAAAACTGATGATCGTTTGCAAAGCATCGTTTACAAAACTGATGACAGGACGCAAGTTACTCACATTCAGTGTAGACATAGGAGCTTCAGATGCAAAATATTCGACCAGTCTTCAAAGAATGCAAATGTTACTTTGGAACACTTTGGAATCATGTTCAATATCACTTCTATTTTCTAACTCTAAAACTATATAACAAGTAAACATTGTTATAATTTCCTATCGGAGAAATAATCCGCAAATTAAAGAACTCCGTAGAAAAATGTAAAAAGCAGTTACTCGAACAGAAATATATTGAGACATAATTTGCTGTCTGAGGAAGAACTCTGGTAACAAAGAACATTGTAGAAATGTATTGTTTCTCAATATTACTTCAAACTTTTAAAATAAATAATACATTCAACTAACTACACTGAGTTTGAAAGTATTCTACATGAATCCCAAGTTAATAAAGAAAAGGACTTTACATACACTGAAATTGATATTGCTATTGCCTCTTTTCGTGAAAAAATTGCCCTGGGCGGACGGGATCGGGGTTACTATTGTTAAGACATATATTCATCCTGCCTTCCTTATGCTATTTCTTTACAATAAATATCTAAATCTAAATACATTTCCTAAAGCATGGAAGACTGGAGAACTGATTCTTATACCAAAAACAAATGATAAATTTAGACAAATATGTTTACTGAATATTATGGGTAAGTTACTTGAAATACTGAAAACTAATAGACTTCAATTCGTTATTTATAGCAAAAATTATATCTGAGACTCCCAATATGGCTTTCGTAAGGGCAGATCTTGCACTTTATAAAGTAGTTGAAGAAATAAGATATAAATGAATACTTTATCATGTGGCCCTGGTCTCGTTTGATGTCAGGGTGCATTCACACAGTAAAATGGTCTTCTGTTTGTACACATTAAGAAACTTGATGTTCAGTCAACGTTTGACACAGTCAAGGATTACTTCAACACAGGTATTTGGTCTACAACGAGAACTTAGAGAATTCAACATTAATATGCCATGAATAAGGTGTCCCAGGGCTCCTGTAGCGCTCCCCTGTTCTGGGGTCTTATTGTAATAATTTGCTCAAGGATGTAAATATACCTAATATTTCCACTTATTGTTACGCAGACGACTTATTACTTTTAATCTATGATGTTTCTTTGGATAAAATTGAGTCCCATTTCAGGAAATTAGGTTGCATTCTAAATAGTTGGACTAAGGAAGAAAATATTTTATTTAACATGGATAAAACTTCTGGAACTTTTTTCCCAAAAGAAGGGAAAAAGTAAGGAATTCAAGACTTAAATTTCTTGACAAAAACATAAAATTTTATAGTACAATTAAATATCTGGGTGTTACACTGGATGAAAAACTAACTTTTATAGAACATTTTAAGAATATCCATAGAGCAACGACAAGATCTTAAATTTCTACGGACTCAATTTAACGTTAATACACTTTACAGGTCAGAGTGATATTCTGAAAATCTGTATGACAATGTTATATACCTAAGATTATGTACGGTATCGGAGCTTGGGGCCGCCGGCAGGGGAGCTTGTCAGGTTGAGAACTAAGCTTGATTAATACAAAGAGGATGCTTCTGATTATCACTAGATGCTTTAGAACAGTTTCATCTGAAGTCGCATGATTTTGGCCGGGGTTCCCCCTCTCTCCATTCATTATAAATTTTTCTACAATAAATTCCATTACAATATTCAATAGAAAGCTCTCTTATTCTGGAGGGAATCCAGGTTGAGAGCAACGCATTTGCCCAAATTCACAATAATTCGATTCATCCAAGACAGAGACATGGTATATTATTTGATTGCAATGTATTGCCTACCAGCGAATATGAAGATCTATACAGATGGGTCCAGGTTTCAAGGGAGGTGTGGGATGTGCGTTTGTTGTATATTTTTATGGTTTGGAGATCCATTATCAAAAATACATACTGGATAAACATAATTCAGTTTATCAATCAGAGCTATACGCCATTTATAAAGCCTTGGAATGGATTAAATCCAATTTGATCTATAAATGTACAGTTCATATAACTCGGATGCCTATTCCGCACTCGCGCCCTCTCTCGGCCGGACCATAAAAATATATCATGAATAAAAATTAAAAATGATTATATGAATTTAAAATATAAAATGTCAATCAATATTCATTGGGTAAAGGCCCATATTAGTATCATTGGGAATGAGAGGGTGGATTCCCTGGCAAAGGAGGCTGCCCTGGGGGATGGGATCTCCGAAGGTGATCTACAACATTCTAAAAAAGTTACAATTAGCAAAACATGAAAGATCACATGTATAAAACCTGGTCTGATCAATGGAATGTGTCCCCTAGAAAATCAGAGGCCTTTGTCAAATATAATAATTGAGAAGAATATGGCTATATTTTGCGATAAAGACTATAATCAATTAGTAACAGGGCATAGACGCTTTCCTATGTACTTACAGAGATTCCACCACCAGGGGGTAAATTTATGCCTTGAATGTGATACTGCTGGTGACTGCATTCATTTTATTGAAAGTTTTACACTCACCAGGGGGGGGGTAAATTACCTGGAATCGGAAATGTAAGAGAAATGATTCAAAATTATAAAAAAGGAGTAAAATTTGCACAAGACATTATGAAAGTCATCAATTCTCATAAACATGTCATCGGATATCTCTGACTGATCGAGCTAACATACTGAAAGCGTTCAATTTATGGAAACTACAATTAAAGGGAGAGAAAGATTTTATACGCAAAGGTGCAGGGACAGCTTAAAAGTTTTTGTGTTTTTATGTGCTGTGTTATTATTTTAGTATACTAATCTAATTTTCTTTTTTTTCCTGTTAAGCTGCTAAATTGATTTTTTTTTGGGGGGGGGGACACGGCCGGCTCGTGTCGTTTGTTGTTGGAGGGGTTGCGCCCGCTTTTCTTCATAAGGTTCAACAAACCAGGTGGAAGGGCTGCGCCCGTATAAAACAAAACAAAACAAACAAAACATTCAACGAATTATTTTTGTTAAGGTCATCATTTCAAATACAAAATTTTCATGTATTGGAGAAAAGGGGAAAATATTGCTATATACAAACACAAAAGGAAAAGCTTTGGCATTAATGTTACAAAAACTTTCTTATATTTGAAAAATCTGCTGACGAATGCAGACTCACCAGCTAACTTCCGGTATGGGGAAACCAGAGATCTTTGCTTTCAGTCTTGCCGGAGCTCCATATCTCACTTCTAAGTCTTGAAGTTCTTCAATATGGGGAGCGGTAGGTTCTGAATAAAAATGTGTATTAAATTATTTACATTTTTAATTAGTACAAAAAATAGAAAAATATGTCTGGAAAAGATATTTAAAAAGAGAAATTTCGCTAACGAGATATTTATTGAGGCCCGATGGCGCAGTGGCTATCGCATCGCGCAGCAGCACCATAGGTCCGGGGGTTCGATCCCCAAACTGAGCAAGGTCGATTCAGCCTTTCATCTCTTGATTTCCAGCCTTGGGTCGATAAAAATGAGTACCAAATTCGCTTGGGGGCTAAACACTGGGATCCTGCCACAAGCTGATCACTTGCTCATGGCATATGCTTACGCACCCCGGGGCCTACAGTCAAGAAAGAAGACTTCGAGGCACTGCTGGGCTTGGCCCACTGAGTTTAGTTTATATATTTATTATGACGAGGAAGACAAGGATTTTGCGTTGGATACTCGGTTGGCTCCGTGTGAATGGATCGTGGAGAAGAACATCTAATTTACAGCTATCGGTATTGTTAAAAAACTCTGGCAACTAACATTGGGGTAGATCCTAGGTAAGATGAATCGGTTGTGCCGAAAATGACCTAAATATTTTAAAGGTCAAAAACTGGGAAAGCAGATGCCTAGAGAAGAATTCTGGAAAAGGCCAGGTTTTCGTTTGAACGAAGAAGCAGAAGATACTTATTATTCGAATATGCCATTTACTAAAATAAAAATTAAAACTACTACCGGGCCTTCAATGTCATTTTGAAACTATCAAAAATTAAATTTAATAAATCCAAAACACGGCAAATTTGAGCGAGAAGGATAAATTCTCGTCGCCTACTTCTTTCAACTCTTTCCCACCGGAGAGGTCAAAATTTCTTTCAAACATTCATATGAAACGCCTGTATGCGTAAATTTTTGTTAGAAAGTCTTTCTGCGGTTTCATCCACCGTGGGCAGAGCGAGCATCACTAGTCAAACTCAGACGCTAAGAAAAGGAGAGGAAAGGTGTATTCAAATAACTGAGCTGCTTTTAGTCGCTTCAACAGAATGATTAGCATGTCGTTTAACAACTCACGAAACTAGTGAGCCATGCAATAACGTGATAGGGGAAACCACCAGGTAGAAAAGGGTCTCAAGTGTTCGGGCGACCCTCTGATGTCTCAATGCACGGGCGTTTCGGGTGAAAAAGTTAACATATTTCGTATCATGGCTTGCAAGAAAATATAGCATTCCCCTGTCTTAGTGTAAGTGCTTAACCCGTCCAGCTAGCAATTAAAACGGGTGGTTTTCATGTCACAGGCTTAAAAAGAATCCTAATGTTTTTATAGAGTTTCTTTGATCTTTTCTCTGAAACCGTGAATCTACAGTGGTTTACACTTGTTTCGGACACCTATCTCATTCTTCATTCATATGAAAATGTCTTTCCAGCATTCTCATTCGATCACCTGCCTTTCGGACACAAGTTTCCGTTTTGAAATTATTTACATAGATTTATTTACATAGATCTTACTTTCCAACGTACTACTTTACCTCTGTTTGAAGCTCTGCTTGTTTTAAAAGAAATATCATCAAAATATTCCTCACAATAAAATAATTCATTCTAAAAGGGGTAATTGTGACATAATAATTTAGACTTTTGATAGTTTTGTCCAGATGTTTTTGAAAACGATGCTTCTTGACATATTTTGTTTTAAATGAAAGTATATTATAATAATTTTTGTCTGCATTTGGGAATTATTACTCTTTTAGCAGAATATATTAATTAAGGATGAAAACACGTGTGCCCGGAAACAGATGTGAACCACTGTAAATATCGTCTGTTTATAGAATCGGAATCATTTTCGAATATTTTTTTTTTCTACATACGACAAAAAGAAATTTACTGAGAATATTTATTGATTAGTAAATATTATGTACTTTGAATTACCTAATTTATTTCACTCTAATATAAAATTATAGAATGAAATAAATGAGAATTCAATATCTTAATTATTTTAATAAAATTTTAGCTTTTTGGGTGTTAATTCTAAATATGGAAAATATATTTTGAAAACGAAGGACAGGCTCTATCTCTAACAACAGGCTCTATCTCTTTTACAGAAAAAAAAAAAAAAAAGCAAAAACAGCTGGCACCATTACTTTGTGAAAATGCATTTAATAGCTGTTCTTTGAAATTAACGTAAAAGTGAATTCCGTATTATCTACTATTAAAATTATCGTTTATGTCTAATAGCTATTTCTAGCACCGGTTAGTATACCAGCTCCTAATTCGGAGTTAGATAATCATTATTTTTTGTATTTAATGCGTATTCAGTTGTGAGATCTAGCAGAAAAGAAATATTAACAACATTTCAACCGTTACATTTTCAATGTGAATCGCATACCTAGCACTTTACTCGAAAGATGGCAGCACTAAATTTTAAAACTTAGTAATTTACGCGAGAGATGGCAGCACTAAAGATCGGTGTTAAAGTCGATGAACTAATGAACTCGGGAAATGTTTTTATTGCTTTATAATTTAAAAGAGGACTAAAATATACTCATGATTTTACTGGGATTTTATAAACTTTAATTACCTGTTAAAAACTGAAATACTTGAAGGAAAATATGGCACTTTTATATCACTTTAGTGCAGAGGCGTAACTAGGGATTTCAGCGCCCGGAGACAACTGAACGCTTTTCGCCCCTTTCTGTGTGCCAAGAATGGAAAACATTTCATTTTAAAATTTCGTAACATCAATTTTGCGCCCCGTGGATACTGCGCCCGGGAACAGATGTCCCCCCTTGCCCCACCCTAGCTACGCCACTGCTTTAGTGTACGAAAAAAAGTAAAATCTGAGCTGCAAGTACGTTTCTATATCCTCCTTCAATTCTAAAAGTCATTTCTTGCAGTTAAATTATACCACAATTATTTTTATGACTTCTTTCCCCGTAAATTCTTTAAATTTTGATGTTAAAAATGCCCGTTAATATATTTCAATACAACACAGTTTTTCTCTTTTTTAATATTAGGAATTTTATTATCATCTGATTTTAGTAAAATTGGTACGAAGAAGGATACCCATTTCAATAGCTATGTTTACCATAATATAGAATCTTTGATTGCAGTTTTAAGAAATTTTAATTTATATGTTAAGTAACCAATATTTTCTTTTTATTTTATTTATTTATTTATTCATATTTTAGAAATATATATAGCCTTTCATATTGCTGATATCTTCCATAGAGGGCGTTGAGCACCCCTCAACTGTGTGAGAAAAGTTTCGATTTGAGTCAGAGTTGGCCTGGGTTATGAGAATGTAGTGTAATGAGCTGTGTAACGCATATTTGCTATGTAACTGTACTATGTAATGCAATGTATATAATTAAAAGTGTTTATTTAAAATGTGGGGCAATTTTGAAGGAGCATACTTCACACATAAATTACTAAAATATATGTGCTACGCACAGAGGCTTCTACCTATATATGGCAAATTTATCATTTTCCAGCATGGAAATAGCGTTTAATTTTAACTTTTGTCTATTCATATTTTTTGCACATATTTTAATATTTTATTTGACTTTAAAAGAATTAAATTTTCAGCAGGGATTTCTTTTTCTGACAGGACTTTTTCAAAACGTAGCCTACAACTACGAATCTGGCATTAGAAATAACGATATAATAAAACTTTGTGCTAACACTTAGCCTAATCTATTCAGAATGCATGAAAATCGGTGCATCTTTCTGGCAAGGCCATGGGAACTAGACTTCGGGGTAGACTTCCGTTGATATCGATCGTGTTGAAAATGACCTAAAATTTTAAAGGTCAAAAACTGGAAAACAGTTGCCTAAAGCAGAGATACCTGGACAAGGCCTGGACCCACACCTGGCTGTCCAGCCAATAAAGCAGAAGAACACTTAGCCTCTTTATTCAATATATAGCTGATTGCTAATTTGTTATTCAGTTATAGTAATACAAAATATATTTTAGAGAACGAATTGCTTTAACGTAAATAAATAAATCATTTAAAAAAATATGAAAGGGTTCAGATTTTAACGGTCGCGGAAAAGGGCTCTTTTGAAATTTAATATGGTTTACAAAAGGAGCTTGTCGACAGAGATGGTCCACAGTGTCTTAGATGAATATGCATATTAACACAGGAGCTTTATATATATATCTTATGTATGCTTAAAAATGAAAAAAATATGTAATGTAATACTATAAAAATATCTAGTGTTAAATTAGATATATCATGAATTCAATCTATTTTATTGAAATGAATCCGATTAAAAAATAAAATAATAATAATATTCTTAAACACTGCATTCATTGTTTCTAAATATGTGAACAAATAGATTGAATATGAAAGAATTCAGATAGATCGAATATGAAAGAATAATATACTACATTTTTCTGAATGGCAATAGAATCGAATGAAAAATGAAAAATACATACCTTTGACAGTAAGCTGAGCGCTTTCTTTAGCTTCTCCATATTTGTTCACTGCTTTGCAAGTGTACTTAGAAGTGTCAGATATTTTCAGATCTTTCAGAGTGAGGGTGTACGTGTCGCCGTCAGTTTTGATCAAAACGCAATCACTCTCTTCTAAAGTATCACTTTCTTTAAACCTGGAAAAGATAAAAATTATGATTTTTAATCGAATAGAATTTAATCCTGTTTAAAACATGTATTGTTTCATTGAAGTATATCAGCATTTATGGTTGAAGAAGTGATAATTAATTTTTAAAGAAAGTTTTATTTCACAAAAGTTAACTTTCTATTTTATAAAAGGGGTTTTTAACATATATAATATATTTGTTTGTGTAGAGAATATTATTAGGAATTCACGTGTAGGGCTCTGGCGTATATAGTAATTTAACTTTACAGGAAGGTTATATTACATTCACTATCATGCCAAAAAAAAAAATTGTTTTCACGGGTTTTAATTGCAGGTACCTTTCGAAAATCTATTTTTTGTGCAAGGTGTACATTTATTCGTCTACGATAGCTCTGTGCATATTAAAAATATTTTCCTGTACATATTTTTTCTTAATCATAGTTTTTCAATTTTCTATGAATTTCGATGAAATACATACCTTTACATCTGAGATCACTATATTGATTATTTTTAATAACATCTATGAAAACTGACGGTTTCACTAAATTCATTATCCCTAAGTTTTGCAAATTGAAGCCTTTAACATTTATTTATTCCAACGCACACTAAACTCTTCCTCAGAAACCAATTATAGCAGGTTCTGAATTACAACAAAATGCTTTATGAAAAGTGAAATAACTATTAAAATATATTTACCATGTTATTTCCGGCTGAGGCTTTCCCGTTATTTTTGCCTCTAATCTCGCAGCATCTCCTACAACAATAACTTGATCATACAGATGTGTGATAAACATGGGAGCCTGAGTATCTTTCTTCGCTGCAAAAGCATATAATTTGTTAATACATAACATCAGATAAAAACACAACAGATAACCAACATTCATCACATTCCACTTTTGTAACTTAGCAGCTTTTATGAAAATACATTTAAGCAGCGCTATTAACATTCATTCATAATATCATAATTCTGCTACTTACATTTCACGGTAACCGTAGCTTGTTGAGAAACTTCTCCCACTTTGTTCTTTGCCTTGCATATATAAGTACCACTGTCTTCAACGGCACATTCTTCAATTACTAGTCGCTGGTTAGCCCCTTGACTTGTTATTTCGTATTGATCGGAAGCTTTAATTTCCTTTTTGCCAAGATACCTGTCAAAGAAAATTCTTAATGGTCTCAAATGAACAAACTTCATATGGAAATGCGTTCAAAATGCAGTACGCGCAAATTAGATATAAAATGCTCGCTATCTATTGAAAGGGCTGGTAATCTTTGCGTAGTTAAAATTACAGAGGCTTTTGTACAATTACAGACGATTTTCATTATATTCACACAAATATTTTACCCCAAACTGTTGTGTTTTAAATGTTCTGTTTGATAACATTTATTCTTCATTATCTTGTAGATTTTCTCACTTTGTAAATGCTAAATTACAGTTGAGCGTGAAGAATCTTAAGAACTGATAAGCGAATAATCGCTTGAGTTCGTGTGACAAGAAACAACAAGATGGAAAGGTAAATAACCCTTTATTACTCAAATAAGATTTAACGAAACTCCGTCTTGGAGTGTACAATAAAAGCCGTCACTTGAGCTTGAACTAAAGAGGCTAAGAAGTAAACTAAAACTAAGATTAACTAAAGAAAAAAGAGATATAGCCGAAGCTATCAAGATTCTAACCGAGTTGGCCCCTTAACGCTTATTGACTGCGAAGCTATCAAGGGCCTAAAAACGGTCGAGCGTAGTAATAGCTTACGAGAGAGAAGCTTTAAAAAGGAGGATGCGTGCAGACAGAATACCTGGGAACTCTCCCGCTAAGACCAAAGAACTTCGCTGTTAAATTTATTCAAGCTGTAAGTAAATTAATGGAGTTTGTTTGGTTGCTTTGTGTTATAGCAGCTAACGTTTTTGCTGTACTTCATTTGTTTTTGTGTGCACTTCGTAAATGTATTTGAACAACACCTATTCACTTTTCAATTAGGTACTTATCCGAGCCGGATACATGAAAAATCAACGATGTCTCGTTGGGATTGTACCTCTGAACCTTCCGATGCCAGCGGGATGTACTTTCAGTTATACCTCGAAGGTAAGCATTCAAGACAAAGAAAATGCTTTCAAGACTCCCGCACTTAAAGGGCACCTGCGAAGGGGGTAACTCAATCGCCAGATCCAGGTGATAACCACATTTTAGTTTCTGTAGAGTCATTAGGTTTAGATGTCGTCATTGGGATTCGAACTCCGGACTTACCAGCTGCTGGCCGAACGTGCTTCCGATCACACTTCGAAGACATGCGGGAGGAGGATGGAAATATCTTACTAATAAACTACTGATTGCTTTTCGTTCTGTAAAGTTTCAGTTTGTTTTCAGTTTGTTTGCTGTATCATCAAAATGTTAACCAATTAATCAAATAAGTAGCAATAAAAATCACATCAATAATTTCCCGAGAAATTCAGTTGTGATGAAGGTTCTTTCGCTGTATTTGCTCATAATTATCTAAAAATTACTGCAGTTGAACGAAAAAATTTAATATTCGTATGTTTATGATTATCGTCAAGGAGAAATCCTACCTTTAACAACCACAGTTTTGAGGAACTCCTTCTAAAAAATTTGTACAATATTTATTTTATGATACACGACTTTACTGTCACTTCTCCCTTTTCGCTCGTAGACACGTATGACGTAGAAAGAGAGAGTATTTTAAGGGAGGTTTTATATTATTTAGTCAGTGCGTGTTCCGCCTGCTGAAGGTCACATCACTAGTTGATATTCCACGTTGGCAGTCTGCCGATGTTGTTTTGTTCTTGCCAACAGCGTTTTTCACTCCAATACAGGTCTGAGTCAACTCGCGCTAATCATTTCTGCGTAGCCTTTGGGCTATCTTAAGATTTAACTCGATTTAATTTGAAATGCCTTATTTTTGAATTACGCCATAAAATCTGGCTTGTTTTGTAAGCACAAGAAGGGCCCTCAATTCAAATATATTGAGTTCTTAAGCTTAGTCTACATATAAAATCTTGACTTAGTGGATGCTAACTAATAGAGTGAGACTCTACAGATTTATTCATTGCTTTTCTGCTTGGATGTAGAATTAAAACTCTTCTCGTGTTTTACAATTTAATTAAGTAAATCTCTAAAAACCATTTTTCACTATAAAAGCATTTATAGATATAAATGTGTACTTCATATAATAAATGTGTTTAGATAGACATTTTTATAGATATAAATGTGTCTTACCATTTCACTTCAGGCATTGGTGAACCATCCACAGTCGTCTCTAATTTTATTGTGTCATCTTCACACAGAGTCACGTCAGTTAAATCTTTCAAGAAACGTGGTTTTCCTGTAAAAGGAAACAATATTTAAAGTGACATTCAATTGACCATCATAACACAATGCTAAATATTTTCTGCTTCCCATATGCATATACATTCTATTTGAAATAAACAGATATATTTTCTAATGTAAGTTACTTTTGTGTATAATATTTCTCTTTCCTAACACTGCTGTCTTGATCGGTTCAGTGCTACTGGCTGCTGTGTCGTTCGGCTCGGGTTCGGATCCCGGAGAAGACATCAGTGTCTGTAAATGCAGTGTTTTGTTTTGTACCTGCATGGCATGGGGCACTCAAAACACCTGGTGAGCCGGAAACCCTTTCGAGAGGTTTGGTGGTTTGAGAAGAGGGCTAGAACCGTATCCCCGATGGGTTCGGTATCAAAATTGCGGCGGCTAATAGGTGGTACAGAAGGATTAATAAGGTAAATTTTTGATGTCCCGCCTCACTGAAACTTGCACATCTTTCTATTGGAGAAATTATAAGTTTGGATGTAAATTAAGGATAATTCGGAGTCACGCGGAAATCGAACTCTAAAATAAATATCTCACCTGTAAAATCACTACACACATCTTCAAGAATCATATGCAAATTTCAGGAAGTAACCAGATGACACCGATGGTACGTCACAATGACGAGAGTGTAAGAGAGTGCTATATAAGGAATACATACAAAATTGTTCGCAGGCGCTTTATAAGCATTTTAGTGCAATAACCGAATAGTTATGACACAAAGGACGCATTTCGATGATTTTTTACGTGGTAGAATTATCGGCCGTCTGGAATGCGGGCGTACCCAAATGGAAGTATCAGACGAACTTGGAATTGCCCAGAGTGTCATCTCCAGGCTTTGGCTACGATTTCAAGGTGATGGTAATGTGAGTAGACGTTACAGCACAGGTCGTCCCAGAGTTACAACGCCGAATGAGGACCGGTATTTGGCAGTTACTGCCAAAAGAAACAGGCGGAGCACAGTCTCAGATCTGTCTCGTCAGCTCTCTTCAGCCACTGGTACGACAATTTCAAGGCAGACCGTGTTTGCCCCAGGGAGAAAAAATCGCTAATTTTTCTAATAATATCAAACATATAGCATCTTTTTTTTGCTCTTTACCTTTTGTTTAATAAATAAGCTTTACAAATAAGTCAAATTTGTTTTGCTTCCAACTCTTCCTTTGCCTGATTTTGCATTAACCTTAATTTATGGACATGAGTGTAAATACGAGTATTGCTGCGAATATTGCGGGAAGTGTTACGTGTCTGGCTCTTCGAAATAATGTTGTTAGAGCACATCACGTAAAAAAACGTTCGTCCCACTGGGAGATGAGATGATGAAAAAGAAAATCCTAAAATTCTTCTTCAGCAATCATGTCTGCAATACTAAGTGCAAGCACAAGCTTTTCCATAATGGTTTTAATCTTCTTACATTTTTCGGTAATTTTTTTTTTCTGGAGTTTGCTGAAGAAATTATTAATTCTTTCATACACATTTAAGTTCATCTTCGGGTTTTTAGAATCTTATTCTTTTCATTTTGGAGCAAAAAATGCGTACGTGCTGCGACATTTCCTTCGGGCGCTGGGATGTTGTGATTCTGAGAATCATTATCACCTACACTGACTACCAATAAGTATTTGGACACCTGTGATAGAAAAAGAAAAACTAACTTTATTCAAAATCAATAGTTGATAGAGCCTTCACGAGAAGTAATTAGAGCGTGGACCCTCCGGGGCATACTTTCCACAAGTCTTTGTATGACAGCTAGTGGTATTTTCTTCCACTCGGCTTGGAGAACGTAGAAGTTCCTTCACCGATTTTGCACGGGTAGTGAGTGCACCCCTGAATTCGGCGATGCAACTCGTCCCAGAGGTTCTCGATAGGGTTCAGGTCTGGACTCTGGGCAGGCCAGTCCATTCGATGAACTCCATTGGCACCATACCAAGCCTTGGTTAACGTCGAAACATGACAACTGGCATTGTCGTCCTGAAAGTAACAGGGGTCCAACCCGTAAGACTGCCACAACGTAGAAAACACATTGTCATCCAAAATAGGGCAGTAGGCATCGGAGTTGAACTTACCATGAATGGGGACCAAGGGTCCCAGCCCATACCAGGAGAAACACCCCCAGACCATAATTCCACCTCCGCCGAACTTGACTGTTGGCACAATGCATTCTGGCAGGAGACGTTCTCCAGGTAGATGCCAGAACCAGACCCTGCCATCCGAATGGTAAAGGGTGAACCTTGATCCAAAGAACCCGTTTCCACTGATCTACGGTCCAATTTTGATTTGGTTTGCACCACATTAACCGAGCAGTGCGGTTGGACTTCGTGATCAAAGTCCAACCGCAGTCCAACCGCAACCAACTTATGGGCAGCAGCACGACCATGAAAACCAAGCAGATGTGCTTCGTTACGGATGGTATTCATTGAAACAATACTCCCGGATGCCTGTTGAAACTTCTCGAGGATGAGGACCATCGGTTGGGTGCGGTTCTTGCGAATTTCTCTGGACAGCACTCGTCGGTCCCTATCTCCCAGTTTCGTTGGTCTGCCGACTCGGGGCACATTCCGACAATCACCGCTCACCTTCCACTTCTTAATCACATAGGCCACTGTCGATTTTGGGTACTTCAGATCGCTACATATGTCGCTTAAGGATCGGCCATATTTGTGATACCCGATAATTATACTTTTCTCGAAATCAGAGAGCTCTGAACTGCGAGGCATCTTGCATGCGACTAAAGCCGATGCTGTTTCCTACACGATATATACCGGCGGAGTCCGTGACGTACCTTAGGACCGCAGATATCGTCATTTGCATAGGTGTCCAAATATTTATTGGTAGTCAGTGTAGATCCTTCATTCTGCGTGGGAGCTTTCTATCTTCTTTCTTGATGTGAATTTAGGGGTAGATTTCACATTTCTTTAATGAGACTACGTGATCCAGTCACAGTGGAAGCATATTAGCTTCCCTTCTCACATGTATAGGTCAAATGATTCTGGGTACACTTCATACATCTGATTTATTCCCATTCCTAAGATATGCACTAAAAATAAGCACCTAAGGAATAAAATATTGCGACGATTATAGACTTTCTGGCTGCTGGAATTCAAGAGCTATGCAGCTCAAACGCGCCGCCAAAGAAAAGTGCTTCAGTAACAGCGAAACAAAATAATTAAAGGGCAGGTACAATATTTGCGAGTGCTACTCCACAGAAAGTAAAAAGCGTGCTAACAACATGAAGCAAGACAGAAAGCACTCACAAGTAGTACAAAGAACTTTTAAGTCACAAGTAGTACAAAGGACTTTTAATGGACAGATGTGATGAAGCTGCTTCGCTTCAGTTCATTTAAATGTCATGGCCTCGCCAGTCTATGAAGGCTAGAATATTACTTAAGCAACAGTGTGTGTATATAATGTTTTAATGTATAATCTAGGCATCAGTGTAAATGCCCCACCTGCCCAAGTTCGAACATAAAACGGGACAGAGGATGACACGGCCAGCGGAGGCAAAGCTTGCGATGTCGGCTGCAGCAAACAGCAGTAGCCCCTCGGAAACCGAATAGCACATTAGCTCCATGGAAGGCTATGTTAATCTGGATACATAGTGTAAAGGGCCTTTTCCTACTTACTTTGGATAAATAGTTCGTCTTATGCAGCCAGCCGGTTCGAGAGATTCGAACCGAACTACTAGTATTCAGCGACTTTACCGCTCGGCCGCTAATAGGCCTTAACGTTCTCAAGACTTGGTCAGCTGTTTCTGACTAAAGCGATCACTCGCTTCCACTCTAGTAGGATCTGTAGAACACTGACACAAGCTTATATGCATAACAGAACTCTAAGATTCTAATACTGTCATTTCAACGAAGCATAACTCTATTTCCTTGATTCGTGATTCGCAAATTTTATTTTCCTTTGTAGTCCTCAAAAGTAGAATTCACAGAACTGTGCAATAGATAATTAATTTTCCTTGAAAGATTAACTGCAATTGAAAAACTAAACACTACATAAATAGCTCAAATTTATTCGGCGCAAGTTAAATTCAGTTAAAAAAGACAGAATTATTAGATGTTAAATAAACGGAAAATGCGTGAAAGGTAAAAAAATCAGAACTCACTGAGCAAAGTGAGTTTTCCTGTGGACTCCGCCTTTCCTCCACTGTTCGTAACCTCAAATCGAACTTCTCCGGTTGTTTCTGAAGTCACTTTCTTCAAGACTAGACGATAAATTCCCTTAGCAGTATCCTTTGTGATGCTGAAGCTTTCACCTTCGGATAACTCCTTACCGTTCAGGAACCTAAAGTTCAAAAATGCACCATGCAATAATGATCATACTATACAAAACATAATTTAGTATTTTAAAAAGGGTTCTTGTTACAAACGGAAACATATTTGTTAAGATTAAGAAATTTATTTAATTTTGATCCTGTTGCTGTTTGAACTAATCTCCTGAATAGCCATCATTGGTCATACTGCTCCAGTACGCATGTAAACAGTATGAATTTTGCCCATTTCTATCTTAATTACCTTTATATCTTTATACCTTTATATCTTTATACCCTTTATACAGGGTGTCCCAGTCGAAAGAGGCCCAGCAAAAGTGTGATAAAAATCTCATAACAAGAGGAAATCAAACCAACATTTTTACATGACATGCCTTTATGTTTGAGAAATGAAAGTACTTTACAAGAGGTGCTGGAAGTGACATCTTTCCACCTGTATACACAGTTCAACACGGCGCTGCATTTTCGTGTAAAGTGTTGTGTCTATGTGTTCACGTGGTACAGTGACGAAGCGTGGTTCCACTTGTCAGGATACGTGAACTAACAAAGCACACGTTTAGAGAGTAGCGACAACCAGCATGCAGTTGTCGAGGGACACCTTCATTCGCAGAAGATGGACCTGTTCTGTTCTTTGTTACAACAGTTCATCATCGGAACAATTTTTTGACACTAGTGTCACCAATGAAGTGTAACCAGGCACTGATTTGTGAACCAGTTCGATAATGAGAAGCTGACAGTTGGCTGGTACCAGCAAGATGGAGTAACATGTCACACTCTATAGTGAGTGTGAATGCGGTGGAATCTTTTTTTCAGACTTGACCCCTTTGACGTTTTTCTTTGGGGTCGCCTTAACCCTTTGAAGGGCGGTGGTTACCTACAGTAACCACCTTTACTATTGAACGTCCTACTCACTCGTGTGAGTGGTTTTAAAGACTGACCGTTTCTGAAGTTCCCTTGTAGCTCACAAGATGACAATAAAGAAACATAAGCCAATCAAGAAACATAAGCCAGTAGTTGATGCAGCAATTCGTCTTCAAGAAAATAAGCATGAACCATCGAAGACAACGTCACGACGATGTGAACTCTGCACCAAGAAAACGCCTGTAAGAACAACTGTGGGAATGCGGCACATGCAAAGTTGCACTCTGCTTGAAAAAGAAAAACTTTTTCCGTAGATCGTAAATCATCACTCTCTGAAAAAGTACGCGACCCGGAGGTCTTTGCCTTTCTATATTTATTCCGTCTACGAGTCCTTACATGAGTACCATAGAGATTAATTTGTAGGGATGTGTTCTGTGGGCGGTGGTCACTGACACTAACCACCAGAAGTGATCACTTTTTTCACGCGTCTTGAACAAAGTATATGTAATTGTCGAAAATAATTTCATTGTAACACCTGATGTAGTAAATTAAACAAGAGTTTTGCCGAAAAAGTTAATTGCCTTTTCTTGCCTTTCTCTTCCAGCACCTCTTGTAATGCACTTTCATTTCCCAAATATAAAGGTATGTCATATAAAAATTTGGAATGACAAATTAATATTTTGCACAAAAGAACTTCATAGAAAGAAACTTTGCGTACAGAAACCTTGCTTAGAATTTTATATCGCATTAAACGAACTGAATGAAATGAACTTTAAGAATTTCTACACAAGTAAACTTTGGATAAAGGAACTGCACACAGCAAACAACTTCTTAACTAGCACAAAATATTTCTGCGTTAAGAAATTTTACACAGAAAACTTTTTGTGTTAGCAATCCATGCTTAAACGAACTAGTAAAATAATGAATACTACGCTCAAATATTTTGTAATAAATGAGTATTTAATACAAATTACAGAGGGTGGAGCTTTGATTTACATACATGTTATGCCTTTTGTTAAGCTGAGCTATAATAAAAAGGTTTCTTTAAGACCTTTCTAGGACTTCGTCGTATTTTCCAAAGCCAAGTAATTACTCGCTTGGCAGTCTACTGAGGACTGAAAGATAATTAGTTAATCAATTATTTAGTGTCCTACTATTAAGACATTATAAATGCAGATTATAGTACTGGAGAATAAGAAAACTATTGTACCATTTCACATCGGGTGCTGGAGTACCAGTTGCTTCCACTATAAGCTCTGCGTCAGTTACTCCTTCGATAACTTCTTTGTCTCCCAAAGGCTTTTTGATAACAGGTTTACCTGCGGTGAGAAAATTCATCAATAAAGTTTAATTTATTTTCAAAAATTTTTACATTATTTAAATTATATTACCTTGAAAACAAATGTTTACTGTATGATTACACATCAGTCTCCAAAAAAAGGTAGTTTTTGCATAAACAACAAATACTCTTTAAATTATTAATTGCAAGCGTATAAGCAATAAAGCTTCAATGATTTGCCAAAATTCGACTGTGATTTTCAAGAAAAGCTTAATTAAAGTCCGAAAGAAGCGGTGGTTTTAATGTAAGCCTTCCTTCACTTCCGCGTGAAAAGAAATAATCAGCTTTTAAAAGTGTGACATTCCTGCACATTGGTATAGTCTATTACTTTAAAATAATCACTTCACGATCGTACAGGCCCACATCTCATTTAAGATCGTAATGTATGTCGTCATCCTCGAACTTTTTCCTCAGCAGTCATTGCCATGGTTATGAGTCATGGAAAGATGGGACGTGAAAATGGTCATGAAGTGCCTATTTCATAGTAACGGACTATAATAAATAAATGCACTTTAAGCAGAAAATTAAGAATTTATGAAAAATGTTCTGATAATTCGGCAAATTTAGATGTACATAATGAAAAAATCTTACGCAATGAACCGCAGTACATACGTTCTTAACAATATTCAAAAATAAATTTTAAAAAAAGACTGAAAAAATAAATAAAAAATCTGAAAGATTTTAAATTTCAACGGTAACACAAAAGAGTTTCTTAAAGTTTTTTTTTTTTTTTTTTTTTTTTTGTGCTCTCGATGAGTTCTTAGTTTACTAGTCTGCTGTTACACTTAATCCTACTAACCCACTTTTTTCCTTTCTTTCTTTCTTTTTTTTTTCCTTCCAGGTGTCCATGTTCGGATAGAGAACTGTGTTACTCAGAATTTGATGGCTCTAGTATGACCGTTGTTTTTTCACAGTGCGAGAAATATACATATTTTCATGCATATTATTTAATTTCTCGGCACATAAATGATCGATAGACATAAAAGGATAAATAAATTTCAAATTCTTAATTTGCATCTCAAATTCTTAATTTGCATTTCAAATTCTTAATTTGCATGCACCTATAATTTTCATCATTGTATTTGTCATTCCTAAGCCCTTACGAAGTTTTATACTAAAGGATACGTATTTTTCTTGTCAATATACACTAATTTCATATCTATGGGAAGGACTAAACAAAGAGTACGCTTAGACAAACAAGCTCAAAATAGAGAAAATTCTGAAAATCAGTTTATTATAGAAAGTTATCACATAATAGGTTAATCTCCGTTAATCTATTAATTACTGATTGACGGCACAGCACTGCGAGGGCGCAGTGAAACAAATCATCAGAATTGTAATGTACTTTACATCAATTTCGAAGAACAACTGAAAACAAATTCAGTAACCAAAGCCACATTCAGTTGTTACAAACCTGCTTCTGTCCAAATATATAAAAGTAATAAATGAACAGTTACAGACATCTGTCAAACATTTCAAAGAAATCTGAATATTTAACTCAAACGTTTTCATTTTGGGTACATACCATTTGGTATTTCTTTCATTTATGGTTATATTTCATTTATTAGAAAAGATGGCATTTCATATTTTCTGACGGAGAATACTTTTACACTCTTTCGAAATCTAATGCACTGTATATTCACAAATTTAGACATAAGAGATTTTCCTAATTGAATTCGCCTGATACGTAAAGATTAGTTCTTTATCAGGCGTGGAAAATTTATCTTTGCACGTAAATTTAATACCGAACTATGAGCAAGTTATTAGCTGTTTAATGGACAACCTATTCAATTCTCATTCGCTTGAAAGGGTCTAGTCGAAACGATTCATAAACATCGAAATCCATCAAATGATAATTTAGTACAATATACATCTTAAACCTTTTGTTCCTGTTTCATTAATATTTTACATCCCCCATTAATTCAAAACTAATATACGAAGATACCTCCCTGGTCAAATTTTAATGAAATAACTAGCGAATTGCAGCCAAAGCAAAATTTGTACGTTCTATGTATTCCTGAAAAGCAAATGTATGAAAAGATTTTAATAATGAAAGAAATCAGTTCATTCTTCTCAAGGAACAACCAATTCGTAAATAAGTTTTTTATTGCCGAATCAAGAAACAAAAACCTTTGACACTTCAGGTTAATACGTATGACGTCATGATTTAAATTTAATGTAATATAACAACGTTTCCTCAATACTAATAAAAGAATCTACATGGCAATAATATATTGTGTCAATTATACTACCGGAAAAAAAATGTTGCCAACATCTGCTATTTATTTAAAATGCTGACATTAACGAACGATTTTCGACATACAATGACGTCACACGCAATCGCCTGCTTTCTTCAACGTCCGAATATGACTTTATATAATAATATGTTTATAGTTTGAAAATGTTATTTTTATTTCATATTTTGTAAAACTTACAAAATTTTTGATTAACAAACTCTACGACTAGAAAGCGAGCAGTAGCAAGCCTTTTCGAAATAAAGCATTTTTATCTCCAACGCGCGAGACTGTTGCCACTCAAAAAATGAGTGCGAAAATTAGCCTTTCAGAGTTCTTAATTAATATCTGGGCTGATTAAAGTCGTACGAAAATGGAAGTCTATGATGCTTCCCACGAAATTTTGAAATCGGGAATAATATATCTAATGTTTTGGCAGTCCTATTTTTATTTCATATTTTGCAAAACTTAGAAATTTTAGATTATCAAACTCTACGATTTGAAAGCGAGCAGTGACAACACTTATCCACATAAAGCAGATTCTTGTCTCTGGCATGTGAGACTGTTGCCAATCGGGAAAAATGAGGACGAAAATTAGCGTTTTTACAGTTTTTCATTAATATCTCCGCTAATTAAAATCGTACGAAGATGAGAAAGGTAAAAATGGCTTCTTGCGAGGTTTTGCAATCCGGGGGGGGGGACATTTGGCGAAATTCAACTTTCCGCCGTTCCGGAGGAGATATGCCACAAACAAACAAACAGACACGCACAGATTTTAATAGTATAGATTCCAATTTCACTCAATTCTGGTCCTCCATTTGAAATTATGCAATGAATCACGATAAAAACTGTTCTATCACTTTAAAACAATATAGCTGTCAAAATTTTAAATTAATACTTTATAAGGTCACGTTATGCTATATCTCCCTCATTTTCCTTCCAGAATGTAAATTTCTAGATGGCGCGATATTCAAATGAGGTAGAAAGAAATATTAATTAAAGGAAGATTTTAGAGAATAGAATCAGAGCGTGTTTCCCCTGCTAAAGGCCTACCCCGGCTTTAGGTCAGAAGCGCTTGCGCTTAGTTCTAATTTTTCAGAATTTACTTAGCTTTAGTTAAGCCATTATTTTTGATTTTAGCCATTATTTTTGGCTTCTGTAAGCAGAGTGGCGCGGTCTGTTAACTTATATTTGAGTCAATTAAAAGGGTTCTTTACACCCTTTCTCCGCCTCTGTGGCACTTACAAGACATACGTACGAGTAATTCGCTTTTAGTCTTACGAGTTCCCGTGCATCTCATTTTACCAAGGAATATGAGGCGCCATATCTTTGCTATAGTTGTAGGATCTTTTAATATAAAATGCTGTGAAATCTTTATTGCAATTATTTTGATTTCAAACTTGGACTATTACAACTTTAAAATCGATATTTAGATTAATTTTAGAATGATTTATTATTTTTAGACACATTAAAGTAATGTTATCTGCATAATTAATAAGAATTCAGCACTTAAATGAAATTAAGAGCATTCTGTTTAAATACGTAGAAAGAGTCGCATTTGTTTTTGCGCAAATATAGCATTACCATTCAGAATATCTTCCTTGTAAGGAAATTTTATAACTTTATAAATATAAATTTAAATTAAATGAAATACATCACCTATGTGAAAACGATATTAATTTTTTTTCTCATATATTCAAAATACATGTATTGTCTGTCTACGAGAAGAACAGCTCCTGGCACAATGTCTGGTGAGTGGAGGTCACTATAGCAACAGAGAGTTGCTACTAAGGGTTGCCAATTCAAATAGGAGCGAACTAAGGGTTGCCAATTCATTTTTTAAATGTGCCAAGATAGCACACTGAAAAGTAAATCTCCCAGACACCCCTACGGAAAATGGGTCAAGGCTCATTTCTACGGAAACAGAGAGCTGCAGAGCATAATTTTCTTATGATAGACAGACTATCGCAGGGAATAAAAAGTTCACATGAAAATCAGAATGCTAAATCAAAATAAATATAATCATGTTCCATACAATGTCAAAGCTTCAAAATATAGAAATCTTACCTGTAACTGTAACGTTACCAGATGTGGAAGCGGTTCCATGCGGATTTGTGAGTTCGCATGTGTATTTTCCAACATCTTCTTTCGTGAGCTTTTCGACAGCAAGAGACACAGAATCATCGCTTTCAATCGTCGTTTTATAATGCTTGAGGTCCATATCCAAAACTTTGCCATCTTTTTTCCTAGGGAATAAAAAGTAATATATATATTTTTTTTATTTGACAAAAGGAAAATGTGGACATAATTAAGAGTTTAGCAGCAAGAAATTCTTGAAATTAATCTTGATTCAAAAATAACTGATTTGATGTGCTAATCCAATGAACAAGAAAAGAATATCATTCTCCTATAATTTCTTGCACACCATGCATAGCATTTACAGATATCTAAATTTTATTTTATTGCAGTTAATAAGAAAATAAGTTTTATAACTTCACGATTTTCGAGGAAATGTTTTAAAATGTACTCTTGCGATTTTTACAAAGCTTGGCGCTTTGGCATAATTTGAGTCATAAAATCGAAGTATAGAAAAAAATTGATATGTCATTTCAGAAAAAGACTTCTTTATTTTTTTTTCGGAATACCTATATTAGAACAATGCTGCATATAAATATCTTATATACATGGTGCCCGTAAATGTTGCGACAAACTTCTGGGGGAGGTAGGGCACATTATAAGGATTAAAAACTGCGTAGAAACCATGCCCTAAAATGTCAGGCGTAAGTGGTAGCAGAAGTAGAAGAAGGGAAAGAGAACAAGAGAGTAATTAATTTTAAACATTTATTGGACATGAATACAAATGGTATACGACAGCTTGAATGATACAACAGATGCTCAACGTTTGCACCATCAGACGACAAACATGCCTGACACCGACGGATCATTGATTGCAGGACGTGTTGAAACACACCGGGAGTCTGATTTTAGCGCCTGCTAGGCAAGTCTTGCCACGAGATCCACTTCAGACACAACAGGATCGTGAAACACGATACTTTTGATGGCGCCCCACAAAATAATCTCATGTGTATTTTCTCAATAAATCCGTTGAGCGTGAGGACCAGGAACCTGTCCACCATGCCCAATCCATCGACGCGGGAATGATCTGTTCAAATGGCTACAAACATCCAGTCCAAAATGAGCAGGCGCTCCATCAAGTTGGAACCACATGTTCACAAGCTCTCCGTTCGTACCGCGTTCCATGCTCTTCGTATGGTGCCCTAACGCTCGAATGAGACAATCCTCCCTTTCCACTAGCACTCTCCTGTACAACACACCCTGGCAGGGGTTCTTATGCAATTCTTAATCCTTATAACGTTCCCTACCTCCCCAGAAGTTTGTTGCAAAATTTACGGAACACCTTGTATATAATAAGCTGAGCTTTCGAGACGTGAACAACTCAGGTTAAATTCCCTCAATCGGCCCAGTAGAAAGGGAGATAAAGAACTGTTGCATTTTCTTTCCCTTTTCCTGCCTTTTTCTTTTTTGTCCTGTATATGGTGGCCTTGTTTACTTCTCACACTATAAATGGTTTCCAGCTATTTTGAAATCTTATAGAAATGGTTTTTCATACTCACCACACAACAGCCGGCTCTGGTCTTCCTTCATATTTTACATTTAATTTCAATGAAGCACCTTCTTCGGCTTCTACGTCTTCTAAAGGTTTTAGGATTTGAGGAGCCGCTAAACGTATAAAAGAGAATATTTTGCATTCTGCAGCAAATCAATATTTTAATTAATAAACAGAAATGAATGAACATAGTAATTGTTACATAATACCGTCAATAGATGGCGGGAGCTGTCTATAAAACTTTGTTTCATGAATAATGTTTTTGTTTACTTTCTGTAGATGGCACCAGATTTGCCGCTCACGATGTACGTCAGGCTTTTGTTTGTGGTGTTATGAAAAAAACTGACTGTAGAATATAACTTTTGGTGTTTATTTCTCAGGTTTTAGAACAAACAACAGAAACAAAAGATTTTACACATGCATATACTTTATTTAATTTTTTATTTATTACGTTTATTCATTCAAAATGATCGATAAAATGGGTCGATGATATGAGAAATAAAATATATTGTTTACAATGTCTGCAATTATATTCCTGGTAAATGTTAAATCTATAAATGAATTGCCGAGTGGTATTCGGATAGATACTTGGCACCCTATCGAGATTAAAAGGATGTTTCAGAAAATTAAATGCATTTTCATTTCATTTGTCGTCTACGTTTAAATATCCCATCATAATAAGAAAATCTGTATCTACAGGAATCTCTTCATAGATTAAGAGTCTGAGAATATTTCATTGATGAACTAAACAACAACATAATTCTCTCTCGAATGAACAGTTGGATGAATATATAGGGATGGTAGAATAAATCTTGACTATTCATTAATTATTACATCAACCATACAAATACCGCCTGCTTCTGAATCTTATATTATTTCACCCTTCTTAACAGTAAATTTGTCGGTACAGCTTGGTGAAATAAAATACAGAAAACACCACCCGAACACACTGACTGTATACCAGACGACCGTTACTCTCACACGCGTGCGCGCAGAGCTTCACCGAAATTTCGCTATTTTTTATGTCTTCCTATGCGTACACCTTTTGTCCAATTAAAAAAAAATGTGTGTTTGCTAATGTGCTCTTTCATCTATCTAATAATGTATTTAGATTGATTGTAGCATTTGTAGTTTCGAAAATATAACCGTTCACGCTCACCTTGATTTTTGCTTTTGCATCAGGCCATAATAGAGGAACGTAATCCAAAGTTTAAAAAATTCTAGTAATATGTATTTTTTCTGTATTTGATAGTATCCCATCGGGAAATTTATGTTTTACTTTGCATTTGAAGTTGTTTATATCAAGTGTTCAATAAAGTTGTTATTCGTCAAAAAGCGTGCGCATTATTCAGATAGAAGAAATGTATTTATTTTTTCTTAAATTTTGAAGGTGTATTGCAAAGATATAACAGATAGCGGACTCACTGTGTCTAAGTATTTTTTTAATTTGTATATATAGAGAGCCTGTTCAGAACAACCGCTGATGAGAAATTTCTGCGGAGTCCTGATTGTCTGCGTTTTTGATTTCTTTACACTAATAATAAATGTTAGTAAAGCATTTTCGGCAAAAGCTCGCAGGAAGATGCCCCTTGATATTTTTGGCGATTTTTATGACGCCAAGAAGGGTGCCAAAAAACAATGTTTTCAAGATGGCTGTCATCCAGAACAACGCCGAAAAGGTATGTTGCAAAAACAACAAAAGTAATCGTTTCGTGTATTCTTCGCTACATCTCATCGTAATCGTCGGGCGACTCCTGCACATACATAATGCAAATCACGCAGTTTCGGATTTTATCCTCCTTCTCCTGATCTCGGTATCGGCGAAGCCACATAGACTTTGCAAATTAGGAATACGGAATCTCATCCGATGGCTACCGAAGACCCCACTTGCGAAAATGCGCTATGTGGCTTCGCGTATCGTTGGTGGTGTTGATGTAATTACTAGTTTCGAGCTCCTTTCTAGCAACAAACCCCCTCATAGACATCCGACTGAGCCTTAAGCTCGACCAGACGCATATCTTCAGTACAAACTTAGTATCCATTGCCAGAACTAATTAAATCTTCATTCATACACCAATCAGTTACAGCTTTCTTATCCTAAAGTCCCTATCACATATTCTTCCGCTACGCAGGGGTAGACGTCGAAAGGGACATTTCTCAGAACCCGCACATTTCCACGAAACCTAAGTAGCTAGGTTACCATTTTCACTTACTACAAAGACTTGAACGCCAAACAGTAATCGGTTATCGCTCAGATTGGAATTGCATGATCCTTCAGAAGCAGAACTTTCGCCTGATTGGTTGACCTCTACGCGGGACAGAGCTGCAGTCAGTACATTTTTGTTGAAGTTTCAAGATATCCTGCGGAGCCGGGACATCGTTTCCGTAGCTAGGCGGGACTTCGCTTCCAGCGGGGCTTTTTCGTCTAGGAATCCTACCGTTTAAACCAATGCTACCAAAATCATGTTTCTAAGAAATGTCCCGTTTAGCGGAGGCCGTCGCTAGATGTGATAACCCTTTTACGCTTTAAATCACGGAAAAAAAAAAAAAAAAAAAAAAAAAAAAAAAAAAAAAACACCAAACCGAGTATTTATGTTTTTTCGCCATGATATGAAGGCGTATAAAAACTCTTTTTGGAATCCCTTTGGAATCCCATCCTGCCATTTCCCCAAAGGAGTATCCCTTCATTCATCCCGTCATTTCCCAAAGGTGTGTAAAATGCTCCTTTGGAGAAATGATAGGACAAGGAGTATCCTGTAATCCATCCTGATCTATCCCATCATTTCCCAAAGAGTGTAAAACAGTCCTTTAAGGAAATTATGGGACAAGGAGTATCCCCTCATCCATCCCGATCCACTCTGTTATTTCCTAAAGGAGTGTAATATATTTCTTTGGGAAAATGCTGGGACAACGATTAATTAGAACCAACCAGCTAACGAAAACCAAAGGTCAATTAAAGCCAAATAAAATTCAAATAATTCTAAATAAGGTCAAAATACAAAATACGTGATCTACAATACGTGATATATATACTGCAAATCACGTAGCACTAAACTAAGCCGTTCCAATTAGGTTAAACTTAAGAAACACACTGGCACATAATTAGTGATGGCAACTTCGGTACTTTCTTGTACCTGGTACGAAAGTAACGGGTACAGACAAGTACCCGGTACAAAATACTCGTTACTTTGAAAAGTACCGAAAACCGATTTCAAGTACCGAGTACCCAAGTAACGATTTGGAGTACCGAAGTAACGAAATACCGGAGTAACGGTTTGCTGTACCAGAGTACCCTAGTAACGGTTTGCTGTACCGGAGTACCCTAGTAACGATTTGGAGTACCGAAGTGCCCTAGTAACGATTTGGAGTACCGAAATACGCAGCTAACGATTTTGCGCACTGAAGGAACTCTGCCACGTCACCACGTGTTTGATTTTATCTGTACGGAGTAAGATTTTGAATATCAGAAAACATGTCAACTACGGAAGTGTCTGAGGAGCAGGAGAGCGCGGCGGGTTGTTTCTGGTGTTGGGTTTGTGTAGATTGTCTTTGATGGCCAGTGGGGGTTGGGAGGATTGGCGCGGGAAGTGGATGGATGGAAACATTTTCGCTTTCGGTTGTGTCTTGTGTGCAGGTGCAGCAAAATCGATGGGTGCTCTATCAATTTCGTGAAAGGGGTCGTCCATAAATGATGTCACGCTTGGAGGGGGGTTAGTGAAATTGTGACAGTTTGTGACAAGGCGGGGGAGGGGTAACAAGAAGTGTGACATCATATTTTGATTAAAATAAAAATGTTTAAAATCAGCAGATTGAATTTTGAAGTTATTTTAAAATTACCAAAATTTGAAGGTATTTCCTTAATTGGGGCGAAAGCAACTTTCATGTGATTTTTTTTTTTTTTTTACTTACATTCCTTTCTTTCCAAAAAAAAAAAAAAGAAAAAAAGGCATTCAGAGTAGGTTTTGAGAATAGGGTTATAACGTTGCGCGCCTCCAACTTGCACGCAACCAAGAGGTGACTGTGAAAGCTTGTATAAAAGATAGAGCCTTGTGAAGGGTTTAAGTCCCTTTTTATTCAACGTAATAAATTACAATTGCGTTCTCTTGACGCTTACAGACTGTGCCAACTTGGCAGTCAAAATAAAAATAATAACCTGAAAAGAAAGTAAAGACAAGATTCTAACTACGAGGCTCTCTAAAATAACTAACTCACCGTGTTTTCCAATACTGCTGCTAATTCAGCAGACTTGAAACTCACTGGAACGATTACCACTACTTCCCGCCAAGCACATAGGCCGCAACGCGGGGTTCTTCAATTCTCGCTAACTACCTCCGCGCTCGCTAAGTAAGAATATCACACACCGAACTTGTTTCCTTCCTATTTAAATCATAATACTTCCGCTGATAATTTGAATGCTTGCGCGTTCTACTCAAATTTACATATTCTGGCATTGGCAGTTCCAGGGGAAAGTAAGGCTTGACAGGAAAGATAGTTTAAACTTAAAATAAATGTTAGTTAAAATAAATATAAACCCTACATTTGCCGCTGCCAGAATTTGGAAAACTTGGAAGCAGGTCCTACAAACGACCTGTTGTAAGTTTCTCTAATTCTGAACTAACTGGCGAGAACCTCGTTTACACACACACACACAAAAAAAAAAAAAAAAAAAAAAAAAAAAAAAAAATCTTATGTAACAATTATATACTAAAATTCTGTTGCTCGTTACAAAGCTTTCTTCTTACAGCAACTTTTCCTGGACTTCATCAATCAATCTTGGTCTTTCCTTCCAGCATCTGGAAGGAATAAGTATCAGTATCTTTCTACATACATTATAATTTACACTTTCTTGACACAATAAATTTTTGTTTTTAAACGATTCGTTTTTCTTAGTTATTGCTTACTTCACATTCATTCAATTTTTCAAGCATTAATTTAACTTTACCCTGGCTCTCCACCGTGTGTGGTGTCAAACGGGAATATTCGTGTTTTAGTCTTACAACACTTCCCCTAACCACCATGATTTGTTAGAATTCAACGACCAAATAGACACACCTTACTCGACATTCTACAACTCAATGAGCTACTTTAATATTCTTAAAAATTCAAATGTAGG